GCATATTATATATATATATATATATATATATATATATATATATATATGGAAAGAACTTACCTTGTCAGTGGGTTGATTCAGTATAGGCAGTCTCTCTTCAATTTTGTCTAGACCTATGCATGCATAGTTGTTGGCAACTACAACTATAAAAGAAATTACAATAGTTGGTTTTAATGTTTGGATGGGGTTTTTTTTCTTAGTATAAGTAACTCCAATTGAGAATTCCTCTTGAAACAGAGCTCATGCAACAAAGCTCTTAAAGTAGTTTCCTCACCTTTTTAGTGAGATTTGAGTCAGCAAAGCCCAAGAACAAGGCAGGTTTACATACCAGCAAAAAACCCCCCACACTTGCAGGCAGGGAAAATCCATTTGATACTTTACAAGCAACTGTTTGAACATGATGAAGCACTTGGCCTGCTGCCACTTTGTGAAATCAGGCTCCTGGTTACAACAGCCTTGTGACATAGTTGCCAAATTTAATCACAAGTTGTTCTCAGTGAGAGAAAGTACAAAAGTAGATTTTGAAACCAGGTGAAAGGTAAAGGTGGTGTTGAGCAAGAGACTACGTAAACATCTTGCATATCAAGGAGTCAGTGTCAGTTTAGTATTACAAAAGCTGGAAACTGCTTTCACTCTGGATTTTTTTTTTTTTTTAAATCATACCCATCTGTAATTAGTTGCTCAACAAGCTAGGCAACAGGTTCAGTCAGCTACCTGAAACAGCATGCCAGACCAGCATGACCATGCTAAACTAAGCGCATCTGGATATACAAAGCAATCACTTGAATTAAAAGTTAACAGCTCCATCTTTGACTTACTTTGTGGTTCCAGTTTCTGGATGATAGGCATAGCACTTGTCATGGCTACCGAAGTAATTGTCTTCACCCCTTTCTCTGCCATCTCACATACTGACTTCAGATAAGGATGGTTATCCTTTGTGGTGATGTAAGCTGTGGACACCATATCATAGGTGGAGCTCACCAAGGGAAGGTTTACAACCCGTGATACAATGTTCTGTTTAAAATAGAAAGAGATTAGCTGACTCCTATTTTTCTGAATTAGACAAAAAACTATGGGGCTAACTCATACATACCTGGTGTGGATCAATTGCTGCCAATGCCATTTTTCCAGGTCTTGAATCTTACACAACCTGTGAAAGAAGAATATCTGAGTTACAGCATCCTCATTAACCACTTAATCTAACAAGACCTTGAAACCAACAACCCTTTTGTAATCAACCCCACTGGTCAAGGGGATTAGGATGTTCACATTCTTGCATACAGAAATTACCTTTTATTGTAACAATCCAGAAATCCAAAACTTTGTTTGCTAATTACTTTGGTTTAGGTAACACAAGTAGAGCACATGCAAGAGACAGGTTTTGAGGTACAGCAGTTCACTGCAGATTTACCGAAGAGTTACTGACTGGTAGATGAATTTGTTTGTCTACAAGAAAATAGACACACTTAGGCTTACCTGTTGAGTCAGGACAAAGAAACACCAGCCAGTGAGTCACTACAATGTCTAAATCAGATGAAGACTCCAACAACAATAGCTTTAATCATATTAGATCTGTTAGCATAAGAGAGTCAAGTCTGAAAACTTCAGTTATCATTGCTGCGAGATCTTGAAAACACATGGAAGACTAATATTAATTTCCAGTAACCTTAGCTCATGGAGTTCATCATCTCTAGTGCCATGCCTGATGCCCACATAGGGCTCCTCCCTGCTCAAAAGTTATCATTCCTATAACACACAGAGCATAGAATTTTTCCACTGCAGAAAACAACTCTCCTTTATGCTATTTTAGACTTAACTATTACCCATCCTACAGTAAAACAGGCTGCAGACACCAGTCATTCAACAAGCTTATGCTACTGTACTTTCCAACATGTATTCCCATGGAGAAAAAATATTAACAGCTCTTTCCATATAAACCCTATAAAAGGCGAGGGGTATTGCAGTACCACATAAGGAGAACACGCAGAAGTGCAGTCAGCCTAGGCATACATGCAGGCTGAACTAAGACTGCAAGAAGCACTTTTTGTGTTGATGGTTTTATGACACTTAAATTCCAGAACCTGCATAAATGAAGGCAGCAGAAAGGCAAGCTAAAACTCAGTCCTCAAAAGGACTGTGGTTTCCAAGGGTTTGTTCTCGATTTGTCAAAGAGCCAATAGCAGTTTTCTGTCTCATACATATGAGAAAATCAAAGGGAGTGTGTTAATATTCTGCCTGGGGTCAAGTAAAACTTTTCCCCACTACATAAAGGGGAACATGGGCAAAAGCATACTGTTAACGTTTTACAGGCATATTTGCACATATTAACACACACATGCCATAAGGTAGTGCCTGTAATGAGATTAGCAACTGAACCTAGAACATACAAGCAGGTAATAGACAAGGGTTACAGCAGTAACAGAGTTTTCCTTCCATCAGGTGATGAAATACTCCCAGAAAGTATTGTTTCTCATATAGCATTACAAGTCGGATTAGAGTACAACTGGATTTCACCTTGAACTGCAAAGCATGCTCTAGGAAAGAGGAGACTAATAGCACAGATTCTGGCCTCTGAAAGGAAGAAGGGCCCTTATTTTAAGGACTACTCAGTATTTGTAGTATGTCCCAAAAGATCCAGCCACACACGGCACGGATTTCAATTTTAGTCACTAAAATAGAAGAGTTTATCTATAAAGTTATTCCTGCTCTTAAAGACAGGGAAGATAGCTAGGATCTTGCACAGTTTCAGAGATCCCCCGAGTAGTTTCAGCTCTGGCAAAAGTCAGATCCACTTCAGCTGGAGCAGGTAAGCGAGACACCTGAATCAAAGCTCATGGTACAAAAGTGTATTTCGGAGACAGCAAAAGATCCTGAACAGGAAAGTGAATGAATTGTCACGGATTTCATTTCTACTTTCCCACCCTCGCTATGGAAAGAATTAAAGACCAGAAAGCAGCACAACGAGCCACGCGGAAGAGTCAAGGAGCTTGCCCCAGCTAACTGCGGTGCCCAAGGGAGGAAGGCGTCGCAGATTCCAGGTGCCACCACGGACCTCTTCAGGGATGGGGCAGTCCAGGACCATTCCTGGGGGCGAGAAGGATCTCGGGACTGCCTGGCCCCGGGGGAGCCTTAAGCAGCCTACCGAAATACACCGGGATTTGGGCGGAGGGACCGCGGGGGCGATGACGGAGGCAGAGGGGGCGAGTCGCAGAGGGAACCGCAGCGCAGGCCCGCTCCGCCGGCAGCTCCAACGTACTACGGAGTCAGCCCCGCCGAGCACTCCAGGCCACCCCGCTCACCTCCGCAGGCGTACTCACCCGCGCAGGGAAGAAGAGGAGCTGCTGCCGCCGCCTGCGGAGGCCCGGCCTCGCCCCGCTATTTATGGGCAGCGGCCACTCTGGCCGCGCGCCGCCCGCTTCTCTCGCGAG